CATCCACCTGCCCACCTACATAGCCATCTATCTACTTGCCCATCCATCCAACCGTTCACTCACCTATCCACTATCCAACCATTCATTCATCCATCCACCATCCAACCATTCACTCACCTATCCATCCATCCATCCATCCATCCACCCATGCACCATCCATCCATTCATTCGCCCATCCACCATCCATCCATTCATTCGCCCATCCACCATCCATCCATTCACTCACCCATCCACCATCCATCCACTCATTCATTCACCCATCCACCGTCCATCCATCCATCCATCCATCCATCCCTGCATCCATTTGCTCATACTATCTCTGCATCCATCAGTTCATCTCTGCATCCATTAGTTCATACTATCCACCCATCCGTCTTCCCATCTATCACCCAGTCCTACTTCACCCCCCGTCGCCCACCCCTGGTGTGCTCACCACCTGCCTTCCTGAACATGAGCTGTTCAGGAAGCTGGCACCATCAGCAGGGCCACTGTTCTTGACAAACTCACAGTTCTCACAGTTCCAGACAGACTCACAGATGCAGAAGGGTATGGGGAGTACTCACAGCAGAACAGTGGACAGCCAAGTCTCTGTGATACATCAAGTATGCTCCGGGAGGAAGCGTGATGGGTAGGGGTTTGGTTTTGTTTTGCTTTGTGGGGGGTGGGGGAAGCAAGAAGGGAGGCAGGTGGGGAAGCAGGATGTACAATGCATCTGAAACTATGTGGGCAGGCTCCTGAGCAGACGTAGGATAGCAGCAGCCCTAAACCAAGGCCTGGGTGTTAGAGGGGAAGGGGAATACCAGACAGGGTGAGAGAGAGAGGACGCTCAGGGGCAGGGGCACACTGCAGGGCTGGAAAACGCTCTCCAGTTACTGCTAACACTCAGGTCCCGTGAGCAGTGCAGGGCACTGGGCTAGAAATGCATTTGACAGCTATGGGGAAGCTTGGCCTCATGCTTGCTGGAGTCTTTTCCAACTTGCCTCTTCTGTTACTACATAGACACCATCTCGCTGGGAGCTGTCCAGGCTTGAGATTCTTAGTATCCCCACTGTACACACGGGAAAACTCAGATGCAGGGGATAAGAGGCAGAATTCAGCCTCAACCTGTCTCCTGCTCCTCAGCCCCATCCTGGGTGACGATTTGCAGTTTGGGAGGGTGCGACTGAGGAAAGGCCCCTGCTGGGAGAAGGGAGAGACGTCGTGGAAGGGGAGCTGGTCCACACTGTCTAGGATGGGAGAAACTTCTAAACCACCTCCACCCCTAGCTCCCCTGCTGGGGGCCGAAAGCAGGAAGTGAGGTATGAGAAGGGGTCCTCCAAGAACTCTCGTGCCATTCTTGACCTCTGGGTGCCAATAGCAAAGAAATTCTAGAACCTCTCTTCCTGCCTGAAGGGCCGTCTTGGAAGCAAGGCTGCCCCTAAGAATGAGCACAATTCCCTCATTCAATCACAAAGCCTCATCTGCCCAAGACCTGGCCGACCCCTCCTTCAGAAAGCTGTCTTAGACAGCCCTCCTTCCTCCCATTTGTCCACATAATTTCTAAATCCGCCCTTCCCCAACCACTGGGAAATGGGGGATTTTTCATACTTCACTGATTCCCTAAATAGGTCATGGCTCCCCTGCATCAGATGGGAGCTCCCTGAGGAGAGGGGAGGGTATTCCCCATCCGATTAGGGACTCTCTGAAGAGAAGAACTGCCTCTCCCATCAGCATGGAGGCTCTCTGAGGTCAGCAGCGGTGCCTCCTCTCTTAGACGAGCTGAGAATGGAGATGCCCCGTGTTCTGCACTCCAAGTCCCAGGCCTGGGTGGAGACCCTCTTGGGGATGGAGCCCTCTTTCAGGCACCCTCTGGGGTAGGCCGGGCCTTCCAGTTCACCCTGTGCCTCGTCCATCCTGATTCAGCACAAACGGCTTTCCTTCCCTCCCCTCAACAACTAACTCCCTGGGGTGTGTATGGGGCGACCCGTGGGGAACTCTGGGAAGCAGGCCATCCAAGAGGTCACCAGACCCCTCTCACCAGAACTGAGCTTTGGAAAACCACCCCCCCCTTCACACTCCTACACACACACACACACACACACACACACACACACA